ACAACTTGTTTGCCTCTCTCAGCACAGCCTCTCCCCTCCTTTCTCTGTCTTTTGTATGCTAATCACTCCTCCTATTTCACAGCTGTCAGGAAATAACAGGATGTATAAAGCCAACACCAAAGGATAGCCTGTACTTACTGGCTGGCATAATATCACCTGATTGCAGAAGAAAGGTAGAGAGCCAAAAAGATCAGAGCAGATGGAAGACTTCAGGCATCAACTCTGTGGTCACACAGAAGTAACTAAATGGCTTAAAGCGTGAAAGAGTTTTGTGACCACTGTTGCACCCTTGGACATGACAGCTAATGGGGCACAACTGAGGCTATGGAAGGAAAGATTATGCGCAATCAGATGCCCTGAAATGGAAGCCCAGAAGGACCTTCCAAGAGGGGCTGATGCAGACTAGTCAATATGCTGATGCCTGAACCACCTGCATATGCAAACTGGGAAATCAAAAACAAACATTATCAAATGTGGCTACTCAAATAATACCATATATGCGAGTGCAGTGAAGTGCTGACCATGGAGCACTGGCTCATTTGCCAACTCCTTGGCAAGACCTGTACTAAGGAGCACCTCAATGCAGCAATGGAAAGAGCCACTGCTTGTGCAGAGTTCTGGAAAAACATCTAATTTATGACAAGGAGAAGGAGAAGACTATGATAATGATGCCTATTTGATAGCCTGATCTGTGCATGTCCTTTCATAGCATCATATGAAATGAGCTTTTGCTTATGAAAGCTTATGCATCTCTGATCCACTTAGTATAAAGTGAACCTTTATCCTCCCTTCTGCCAATCTACGAGTTTTCTTCCACTTTAATAAAATGCTTTTGGTAGAGAGGCCCACAGTAGATCTTACTCTCCTACTGGAAAGGGTTGATTTATTTAAAATGAAGACAATTCCTCAGCCTGAATCTTTATTCCTAAATCTTCTTCCTTCTAATGGTAACGAGCAGTTTCTAGCTAGCTGCACTTCCAAAAAATCCTCACCTTCCAAGAGCTATCTCTAGAGTCCATTTTCTTTTTCAGCATTTGAAATTCCACTAAATCCTGGTTGGAGATTAAGCCCAAATATATGTAATTTTCTATCTACACTATACGTTGTTCTAAAATAAAAATAATACATTGCTTTTTTTATATATTGCGTTCCTAGTAGATCTCAATGCATTTTACAAAGGCAGGCAGCTGCCTCCTGCAAGCGACAAACCTGACCGGTTTCCCCAGCCCAAAAAGAGTTCATCGTACCACCAAAGTGTTTTGCAGGGCAAGTTTACTTGTCAACATGAAACCTTAGCATAGCATCAGGAAAAAACATTTCTTCAGACCATGATGAGCCTTAAAGCCTCTCCTCTCTGAAATTGTTTCAGGATTACTGCAGGGGCTTGCCTCTCTGCATCAACTGTCTCAGCTCTGTGCAAGAAACACCTGACCCTTTCCAGTTTGGCCTAATAATTGTGCACGGCTGGTCTGAGCAACCCAGCCAGTTATAGCAAGACGTGAAAGACAAAAAACCATCCTTTGAGTTTCTTCTATTTTTATTATCAACTGCCTGAAAAAATTCATGAACTGCAACCAGGTCTCTCCCCCTACCCTGAGCTACTCACTTCCATAACAAAAATAACTCTACCTGGCCAACACCTGAGCTTTATGAAACTCAGCAGTGTTGAGTTTATGAAAACACTAGCAACACCAAGGTCCAGGGCCCCCTGAACTGTAAAGCATGCTAGTCCCACTACCACAATAGCTCAAACTGTGATCCCGTATTTATAGGTACCGAAATAAGTTTCTATTCCACAACATGAGGCAAGCACTCTTTTATGCCTCTTACTACTGATTTCAATAAGCATTTGGCCTAATACTAAATTGTGGGGTGAAGTGAACACTCAGGAGGGTAGGGCAGATTTGGACAGGTTAGAAAAGTGGGCAGAACACAATAGGATGCAATACAACAGAACAAATGCAGAGTGCTGCACCTAGGGCATAAAAATATCCAGCACACCTACAGCTGGGAAGTGACCCTCTCAGCACCACAGAAGCTGAAAGGGATCTCAGAGTCATAATGGACTCCAAGATGAACACGAGTCTTCAGTGTGACGAAATCATCAGCAAAGCTAACCACACTATATCATGCATCAGCAGATGCATGACAAATAGAACCAAGGAGGCGATACTTCCCCTCTATGCGGCATTGCTCAGACCACAGTTGGAGTACTGCATCCAGTTTTGGGCGCTGTACTTCAAGAGGGATGTTGATAGACTTGAGAGGGTCCAGAGGAGGGCCATTTGTCTGGTTAAGGGCTTACAGGCCAAGCCCTATGAGGAGAGCCTGAGGGACCTGGACCTCTTCAGCCTCCGCAAGAGAAGGCTGAGAGGTGATCTTGTGACCGCCTACAAATTCATTAGGGGGGCGCAGCAAGAAATCACAGATGCTCTGTTCACTAGGGCATCTCTTGGGGTAACAAGGAACAATGGTCATAAACCGACAGAGAGCAGATTTAGGCTATACATCAGGAAAAACCTTTTCATGGTAAGGGTGGCCAAAATGTGGAAAGGGTGTCCAAGGGAGGTGGTGCTTCCCCTACCTTGGGGGTCTTTAAGAGAAGGCTGGATAGGCACCTGGCTGGGGTCATCTGCCCAGGCAGGGGGTTGGACTCTTTCTTGCCCAGGGCAGGGGGTCGGACTTGATGATCTGTTGAGGTCCCTTCCAAACCTAGCATCTAGTTTTGAAAATCCCACAAGTCATCTATTCTATGAATCTTCAGGTATCTATATACCTTTAAAAACCTGGCCCTTGGGATCTAAATATTTGTAGCTGTGCCTTTCTTAAATCAACCACCTCTATGGCTTCCTACCATTCTCCTTTTTTTGTTTTTGTACTTTGTTCTGAACAGTTCTTAAAGTGATTTTTAATTGGCAGATGTTGTAGGGTAAAGGGAGAAAAATGTACTCATACAGGTAGTACAGTAAAAATTTCACAAAACATCAGAAGACTCACAATGTAAACATGAGTTGGCAACTACGCATATATCCAGATGAACCTAGGTCAAGGCACTTTGATTGAGGCTAAAAGAAGACTGAAATTTTGTAAGCAATGATTTCTTTGTGAAGGCAGCAAGCAGCATATCTGATCTCCTTTCGGACACACCCAACTCTACATCTAATGTGTTTGTGTCCCACCCTCCTGCATGTAACATGGGATAAACAAGAAAGCCAAGAGTAATCGCTCTTCCATTTCATCTTCCTACTCCTTACTATATACATCCTACCCTTGAAGAGGAGAAGCAGAAAGGAGATATGTACACAGCTAGTTGCCTACCCACATGTAAGGCAACCAGCCAAGTTCCCCACCCAAGTCCTTTTCATGGCACAATTTTATTCTCCATCTTAAAATCTATGAAAAACATCAGACAAAAGCCTACCCTGGGCTGCAGTTCCAACAGGCCCCTCCTTTTTAATTATATTGCAAGGGCCTGTTTCCCTTTGGAAGCCTTTTATAAAGAACACCTGATAACTTTCCAGATGGATCTGAGAATAGAATAGAGCTGGACATTAAGGGGGCAGGCTGCCATGTCAAAGTAGCAGAATCCCATTTCAGTGATAGAGACAATCAAGAACAAAGGAGGCTGGATTTACTAAGCAGGGCAGTGGATCACATTCTAACAAAGATTTCTGATCCTCCACTTCCCCTTCTATTCATGATCATACAGATCTCCTTCCCTTCTGAATCTCACAGACTACTTCCCCTCTTTTTTCTCACAAAAAGCCACATACCAGCAGCAACTGCATGCAAGGAAAAATAACAGCAGGAAAAAATTCAGGGCAGCCTTTAGCAGGAACTATGTACTGCACTCCCTTAGGTGTAAACTACTTTCAGTATGTGTTAGGGCTAGAAATAAGGAAAATAACCTATTAAACAAGACTTGCTGCCTTTGTCTGAACCAACAGCAACTGGTCCATTGCTTGCATAATTAATGGATTTTATATCCTGCAACACCGTACACTGGGACATGCAAAATTCTGTGCATCAACAGGTATTTGTTACAAAGCAGTAGAACAAACAAAGCAAACTACCCTATGTTATATTACATAGGGGCTAGAACATGCGATTGCTTTTTCCAACAGACTTTCCTTAAAACAGGTATTTTGCTGATTGTGCTTGAAATAGCTCCAAATGATGCCTTCGATAATAGCTGGATTGCAGCTATAAGAAGTGCTGGCTACAAATTGTTCAACAAAACAGTTTTCGCTATTTGGCCATTTGGAAATCTTGCATAGAAAGTTATCAGTATCAACAAACTCTGGGGGAAAACATGCCTGGTTTCCTGCTAGCTCATCTGGTGAAGAACCTGGACTTGAGGGGCTGTAGCTCTGAGGCAGTGTGAACAGGCCCCCAACTCAATCCCAGAATCTGGGACAGCCCCACTATGTGGACTGCCCCCTGACTGAGGAACCCAGGACTTCTAGACTCCCTGATGCAAAGCCAGGATCTGCAAGCCTTAGAAGTCCAGGACATTCCAGCTGCAAATAAAGACTCCTTGCAGCGCTGGGAGCTTGGAAGCCCCAAAACCCCTGACTGTACCCAGGACTTTTCGGCCTTCCAGTTTCAGTTTGTAATTCGCAGTTAAATTACAGAAAGGCTCCAAGTGAATTACTGACTCTGAGGGCTATCTAGCAAGAAAATACAATAAAAAAATAAAGCATACTGCAACACAACCTTCCTTCTGTTCATTTGATCAGCATAATCAGGTTTAAATTCATACTGTACTTTGTGTGTTCTTCAGTACACTTTATAAGTGGAAGGAAATGTTAATACCATAAGACCACATTATTTTTTGGTCAAACCCAGGCTAACTAGAGCTCACTGTACTTCTGCAGCTGTGTTAGAGGTAATGATAGAAATGGTATAGATTACTGAGAGCCTTAATTTCGCTTCCTGCCAAAAGGGGAATATTATAGGTCCTTTCAACATCTGGAGGGAAACTGGCCCAGGAAACCTACCAGTGTGCTGAATTCAGTCACTTGCCACAGCAGCCAGTCTTCATTTAGTGTGTTGAGGGCTTTGCAAGTTATTACATCCACAGGACCTTTGTTTATCCTTTGATTGAGGGCTGTCACAAGCAAATAAAAAGTTTCACCAACCGTCTCCTAAAAAATAAAGCCAACATGCAAGAAGTTTACTTCTTTGTTTGTAGTCTCACAGAAACTCTAACGGGATGCCAACAACTTGAAGTCCATCAAGTTCAACAAACGAAGGCAACCTCCTTTTGACCAATTTGTTCAGCTGCCCTGTAATACATAAACTAATATATGACCAGGTTCATTTATTGATCTGTATTCTTTCCCTTCCTTGCCTCAGTGTGAAAGACCAGGGTGAACTGCAGATTCCACCCAGGGCTTCTAGTATGACCTCTCTAAGACCTGTGCTGCCCACAGGCACCAATGAAGCAGCTGATGGAAAGAGTATACTTTCACATCTCGCCTGATATGGTTTGCTCAGCTTCTGGAGCTCTCCTGGAGGAACTTGCCTTTGTCTCCCTAGCTCCAGCTACTTCTGGAGTGCAGAGAGGAAACTTTCCACACTTTGCAACCTCTTCTGCAGAGTCAGCAACTGGAGGTGTGCACACATGCCCCTGTGTTGTCTGCTTTCCCAGTCTGGTGAGAAAAAGAAGGGTATTGCCTTCCTTCTTCACCAGGCCTTGGCCTTAAGGTCTCATGAAAGGGAAAGTGAAGAAGAAATTGCTTTCTTCCACCTCAGTCTCTGGCTCCCATTATTTCCCAAATCCAGCAAGTAGTCTGGGAAGAATGGGGATCCCTTCTTGTGCATCTCTCTTCCTCCACCCTCTGCAGGACACCTTATATCCCAAGATTACCCCAGCTCTTCCAGTCAATGAAGAGGAATGAGGGTTGAAGAATATCTCTCCCTTGACTGCTCACTGGCTCTGTGCTGGATGGAGTCCCAGAAATGGACCCAAAGCACTCTGCTGCTTTTTGCAGTAGAAAAATCCCCCACCCTTTTGCAGCATCTAGAGCAGAGCATGTAAATTCCTACCAGGGCATGGCATGGAAGTGATAGCATCATTTTAGCGCACAAGGCAGGAAGTATAACCAAACACTGAAACCATACACAAAATGCTACCACATCCACTAGATGAAACACTAGATGAAACAAACAGAAAAATGAGTGAGGGTATTTTACCCCCCAAGCTCTTTCAGTTCTAGTAGTTTAAGTGCTCTTTGTAATAATACCAGCTAAAAGCCAAGACAGAAATGATTTTTCAAAGTGACAGCTTTTATGGAGAAGGGTTCACTGTGCATTCCAATTACAGTGCAACTCTTCTGACATTACCAAAAAAATATTTGAGAAGCAAATATCAAGATGGCAAACCGATCTAACCCCAAGCCCTTGAGGTTGATGACTATGATTGTTATTTAGAGAGCTGCTCTTTTCTTACACATGCAGGGTGATAGTTGCCCATGGAAGTAATCAAGACTTGAACAATGCATATTAATAGCATGAAGTGCTAGGCACAGCGTACCAAACAGAAAGTCTATCAAAGTTGCATATGAAAAAAGTCTGTAGTCTCTCCATTAAAAATATTCCTTGTTCTTGCCTCTTATATAGTGGAAAGATCAAACTTACCCGAAGGAAACCAGAAAGGCAAACGGACATCCAGTTTGTCAGCAGTTTTTCTACCACTGATTCTGTGCGCCTTAGCATGAGCTTAGGTTGCATGTTGCTAGACTGCTCCATCAAATCCTTTGTCAAGACTTCTAGAATACGAGTTAGGTAGACTAGCTTAGTTTGTAGTGCAATGGTCAAGTAGGAAGCAAACAAACACCTGTTTACAAAAAATAAAGACAAAGCTAAATGGATTTGGATTTTGCTTTTCCAGTCATCTATGACAAGTGAAAGGAGTCAGAAGCCTTTCATAATAGTTTACTATGATATTTGTTCAGATGAGCATATATCTTCAGGTTATGCCTATACATTCTGAATCTTCATTCTTTACGGACCAAAAATATGAAGTGTGAAGGAACATCTGGTTTAGAGATTTTAAAACATAATTTATACGTCTGAATTCTGTTCTGAAGAATAACAGCATCTAGTTCAAGGCAAGAGAAGTTTCAGATCATAAAACTATAGATAAAAATGCAGGAAGTTCTTACAGTTTTGAGGTGAAGTGTCTTCCTGCCTTACTAGATGTTTACATATCTACATTTTCTGATTTCTATTGTTAATGACTTGTTTCAGGGCAATTTGTTTTTACCTTGTGAATTTCAAAAAGACAATGAATGTGGGAAAAGATTTTGGAAATATTTAGGTCTATGCTGTATAGAATGAAATTATATCTGTGGGTCAAAGCCTGTTGTTTTTTTTTTTAATTCTAAGGTTTGAGCAGAATAAACATAACAACATAATAATACTATACCTATCTTTCACCAAGAAGGTTTTCTGCTTTTCAAGGGTGTGAATGAGAGTAACAAGAAAATTCTTGTTACAAATTAAAGTCTGTAACAGAGTGAGGCTTTCATCCTTGTGAGTTTGGTCTCTGTCCTGGAAAAATTAAACAAAAATTAAAGTAAACTGTATTTTTGCATATCGTAGATCAGTGGCTCTCAACCAGGGGTACGCAAACCCTAGGGGTACTTAAAAAGGTCGCAGTGAGTACACAGAACTGATGTGGCCAATAATACGGCCGATAAATGCCACAGGTGTGCCAGGTGAGCAGCCTGGCAGCATGGAGAGCAGCCGGGTCCAGCTGGTAAGTCTGTTGTGAGGCAAGAGGCGTGGGGGGGCAGATCAAGGCTCCAGCAGGGATGGAGTGGGGCCGGGGCTGCCCAGCTGGGGTAGAGCACAGTACTGAGCCACACACAGGGGACAGCTCCTTGCACTACACAACCCCCCAGGAGGGCATGGGGGGCGCGTGCCCCCAGGTCTGCACATGGGGTGAAAGCGGAATGCCACTGAGGGTGGGGCTGGGGCAGTGCCAGGCTGTTCCTGGCAGGGGTGTTGGCAGTGCTGGGAGTGGGGGGTTCATAGATTCAGATTGTAAGGTGCTGGAAGGGAGTTTACAAGATCATCAGGTCCAGCCCTCCTGTACTAGGTAGGAAAGACAACTGGGGCCAGGTGACCATTCAGTTCCCTCTTGAAGATTTCCAGTGTAGGTGATTGCACCAAATCTGGAGGGAGTTTTTTTCACAGTCTGGACACCCAAACTGTGAAGAAGTTTTTCCTAGTGTTAAGCCTGAAACGGTCTTCAAGGAGTGTATGGCCATTACTCCTGGCTTTCCCCAAGGGTGCCCTGGTGAACTGTTGTTCGCCAAGCCCTTGTTGTATTCCCCTGATGTAGCAGCAAGGTGCTCCCAAAGTCCCCTCTCAGCCTTCTCTTTTTTAGGCTGAAGAGGCCCAAGTCCCTCAACCTTTCCTCATATGGCTTGCTTTGCAAGTGTCTGATCATGCAGGTGGCTCTTCTCTGGACTCTCTCAAGCTTTTCCACATCCTTTTTGAAGTGCGGCACCCAGAACTGGCCTCAGTACTCTAGCTGTGGTCTCACCAATGCTGAGAAGAGCAGAAGAATCACTTCCTTGGTTTTGCTTGAGGTGCATTGGTTGATGCATGCCAGAGTACTGTTTGCCCTGCTGGCTACAGCATTGCACTGATGGCTCATATTCATACTGTGGTTTGTTATTACCCCTAGGTCCCTTTCAGTCGTGGTGCTAGTCAGTTTGGCACCACTGAGCCTGCAAGTATGTTGGGGATTGTTTGTCCCCAGATAGAGCACTTTACACTTCTGAATGTTGAACTTCATTTGGTTCTGATCTGCCCAACTTGCCAGCCTGTCTAGGTCTGCCTGTATCTGCAACCTATCTTCAAGCATGACCGCACTCCCCCATAATTTGGTCTCATCCATGAACTTGGCCAGTGGGCTCTTCACCACCCCATCCAAATCATTCATAAAGATGTTGATAAGCACTGGACCAAGCATGGACCCCTGATGGACACCACTGGCTACTTCTTCCCAGGACGACTCAGGTCCATTCATTAGAGCTCTCCCGCAGCCAGCTTCCTACTCATCTAACTGTCAAGCAGTTAAGCCTGCAAACCTCCAATTATCCAATGATATTGTCACAGGAAACCAGATCAAGGGCCTTTTGGAATTTTAGGTATACAATGTTGGGTTGGGGGGGATACAGCGAATTCTGGAATGCCTGCAGCCCCTCCGGTAGCCACCCCCTCTTCGGGGGGCACCTGCCTGGAGCGCAGCCTGGCCCAGCCCCAGCCAGGAAGAGCCCGGTGCAGCCTCAGCCCCAGCCCGCAGCCTGCCCTGCCCCACCCCACACGCAGATCCAGATCCAGATCCACTCATGGGGAGTGTGCAGCAATGGGAGCCACCTTCCTCCCCGCGCCCCCTGGACGAGTTGCTTGCAGCTCCATCCCACGCTCTATTCCAGCTGTGCAGCCACTGCCCCAGCCCCACGCCCTCCCTCACTGTGGGGGCCTCAATCTGCCCCCCCTCTCCACCCCTTAAAAACAAAAAAATATATAAAGGGGTACATGAGCTGAAACTTTGAGACAGAAGGGGTACACTTGTTAAAAAAAGATTGAAAACCCGTCATAGATTTTAATTCTTAGAAACTGAACAATAAGCAGCATTTAAGATAAAATCCTGGCCCCATTCAAGACAACTGGAATTCAAGGGGGGCAGGATTTTACTCGTAGTATATTCATGTTTATTTATATACACATGGGCAACGTATACTAATATTGAACTCTGTCTGGCATATCCTTCAGTCTATACAAAAACAGGGTATTATATATAGAATTCTCTTGTACACATAAATCGATGCAACTTTTTCCCAAACTGGGAAGGATGCTAAGAAAATGAAATATGACTTTGGAATCACAATTCAAGGTGTCTTTACACGTGCTCCGGAGTTGGGGTGGGGTGCTTTAATTAGAGCAGCTCTAATTAAAGTGCCCACAGTGCCTCATGTGTTCAGCGTTCCTGTGCTTCAAAATGATTTTTTTTTTTTTAACTAAAGCTTGTCACACGAGCTTTAGTTAAAGCACTCCCACTGCCATTTTGAAGCGCAGGACACTGAATACACGTGACATCGAGGCTGCTGGAGTGAGGCTATTGGATTAATCGAGTCTGCTCCAATGCATTCTAATTAGAACATGTCAGAGTAGGCACCGGGCATGTGTATAGGTATCCTCAGATTCTAAAGTGACAAACATGATCATACGTAGGCTGAAAAGAATACCTACAAAATAAGACTAACATTAAATTACACAAACTTACCGGTGGTACATTAGTGTGCATGTCTTCTGTGAAGGGAGCTGCAAGTGTTTTTGGCTAAGAGAAAAGATATGTTTAGTTACATTGTTATGAATTTCAAAGGTGTCTAATAAATCACATATACCTTACAAATGCTAAGCGGGTATCCAATGGAAGACACTTTGACATAAAGTAATGAAGATTTTGGTTTGATAACTACAAATATATTGCTGCATTCACTTTTGCACTTCAGGTGAACTACAAAGGGGAACTCAGACTTGAGATAACAACAGATTTATCATATATATTGCTGAATGCCCCCAGTACAACCCAGTAGGGGTCATCCAGAACCATAGCCATAACCATAACATTCTATGTTCATTATTCTCACATGGAAATCTGCTGCTCTTCTAGGTTTCCTAAGGACACTCCCAAATGCATTTTTAGGGTGCCACTGGTACCAGCTGTATGACATTTTTAGTTATCAAGGACCCTGATTTAGAGTTTGTTTGATCTTATTATTAGGTACCAATACTTTCCATACATCTTCTACTCATTAATCTCCAAGTGCTTTACAAACACTCTTAATTCATCTCCTATAACCCTTGTGCAGTGATCAAATATTATTGTAGAAAAAGCCCAGTAAGAGAGTGGATCCTACTTCCATCTCATCACCACCATGATGTAAGCTCTATTAGCAGCCTGTACAAAGACAACCACCCAGGTTCCCAGAGATTATAGCAGTTAGGGCCTCAAACCTTCAGTCTGCAAGGTCCTGACAAGAACCTGCCTCTCTCAAAATCAGTATGCTGGGCATCTAAATTCACCCTGTTGACTTTTATGCTATTCGCTTTTTCTCTAACGCAGGTAACTCTTCCTACACATTGTATTTGCCAAACTTCTGTTCTTCATCCCCATCTCATCCCCACTCTCTTTTCTTTCCCATGCTTGCTATTCTTAGCAATTCTTTCCCATTACCTGCTCCCTTTTTCTTCACTTTCCCATTTCCAAGGCTTTTATTCCATATGGTGCCCACCCAACAGGAAAAAAAATATTTTAAATTTAAGGGGCAATGTGAAAAAATAAAATGCAACGATAGGAAGAGTTAACAATCACTGCACAAAGGAAGTAGATGTAGCAGTGCTAAACAAAATGGTTTGAGAAAAGGAGAAAGGCAACAATAAATAAGCAAAGTTTTCAAAGTGGGGCAAAAATTAGGGTTTAATATAAAGAATAATATGATCACATTTATATTATATATTTAAACGAATACCAAAAGACATGAAAATAAAAAACAACTATAAAGCCACAGTAAATAATGAAAATTAAACCATTGCGACTAGATAAGGCTTTTGTAACAGGATGCTGGGAATTGCAATGGGCCCTAACAAACATATCATTTTAAATATATGAGGTTATCAAGGCATGTGTCAGTTGTCACCTTGATCATTTTGATTATAGGCGACATTCCCCTGCTCTATCCAGTTCATCTTTTTTTTTTCTTTTTGGTCTGTAAGCACTATTTGGCAGAGGCTGTCTCACTGAAAACATTTATACAGCACCAAGCACTTTTTGGGTGCTTCCACAATATAAATAATAGTTTTCTAGATGGAAAAACTGGAACACAAGGTGTTAAATGCTTTTCAGGTTGACCACCAAAATCTTATCAGAGCTTAAAGTAGCAAACTTTTCTTTTAGTTCACACAAAACAGACAAATGATCTATCTGAAATCTCTTTGGCTTGTAAAGTAATGTATTTTGTTTCTTTTCTTCCTTCATTTTTTCCACATTTCCAACAATATAGAAAGAAAATACTGCTTTTGCAAGATGATTATGATTTTAGGTGTGAAGTATACAGAACGAACATCTGAAATCCTAAAAATAAAGATAATATTTTGATAATCACCTTGGTAACAAAACAAAAGAAATGCAGAAAGTATGACACTGTTGGCAGAATTCTTGAAACAAGAGTCTCATTATAATCTAACACTAATTAGACCAGTGTGACTTGAGTGGTTTCAGTAGAATTATTCTTGATTTATTTTGGTGCAAGATCAATATCTGAATCAGAATGTGTTATGATTACTCACATCCATGCTAGAGGATTAATTTGGGGATCCCATTGTACTAGGTGCTGTACAAAAAAGGGGCAAGGATACTGCAAACACACATGTGCTTAATTTTATCATAGCAAGCAGTCCTATTTCAATGAGGTTACTCACAATAGTAAAGTTAAGTACATGAATACATGATTCGTGATTGCAACCTTGGTACTACAGAGGTGGACATGACCCCTGTCAGGGTATTTTGTATTCTCAGGTGATAACAAGAGATGAAGATTAATGCCAAGGAGAAAACCACGTTTTTTAACATGCACCTATGCATGTCTGCAGGTTTCAACTCAGAAACCATAATATGGGGGAAATGGGGTAAGCTTTTAGACGGAATAGAACATGGAACATTTCAAGATGCTCGTGAAGGGCCATCTTCCCCTCAGAGCAAACCATATAACACAGTGGGGCTCAAACTTTTTCCCTGGCAGGCTAGATGGGCAGTGCCTGGTTCAACTACAGGCCAGATGGTGGTTCTGATCCAACACCCAGGGCTAGTGTGGGGTGGGCAGCAGCCTGGCCTGAACCTGGCCCTGCAGGGGGAACAGGGCTTTCAACCAGCAAATAATTCTAGCCCCAATTCAGGAAAATACTCAAGTACCTGCTTAAGTCCATCCCTAGTAGTTAGGACAGCATGTAAGCACATGCTTAAAGTCTAGCATGTGCTTACTGCTATCTTGAATTGAGGCCAGTCACTTCTCTCAACTTTTCTGGCATGGGAATCAGCAGCCTGAAACAGAACAACAACATGATTTGGGATTTTCCATTTCCTACTCTTAATTTTAATGAATTGAAATTATTCAAGTACAAGAGGGAGAGTAAGAACTGGGATGATATAGTTGGGGCTGGTCCTGCTTTGGAGTAGGGGGTTAGACTAAATGACCTCCTGAGGTCCCTTTCAACCCTTATTTTCTATTAACTTGAAGGCCTCATTAGCATCTTGCTGACTGAATGAGGAAGACTTGTGAGTTAAACACATTAAATGAATTGGCTGCGTTAATTTATTTTTGCAGACAAGTATGAGAGAGAAAAAGCAATGGACAAAATGTAGACTTAACAGAGTGTAATGAAGGTTGAGCAAGGTGAGACAATGAGAAAGTTACAGAGCACAGAGAATTCTTGAATACATTAAAGGGACACTGGGGTTATTTTAATTCAACATGCAGATTTGATGACTAAAAAGTTACATGGAACCTAAGGGCAACACATTTAAATGTTCCCCTATAGAGTTAGTGCAATACTATTCTATTGGCTTAGAAACAGTATATGAAGTCAGCTGTGAGAAGGATGTACAACTACAGTGTAGTATTTAAATATTTGTTTCTTACTCAAGTTATCATGTTCATTACAAGGGTGATGCCTAAAAGACCAGCAATCATTTACCTCTGGGAAGAAAGTTCTAAGAGCAAAATGTTTGTAGTCAAGGAAGGGAACAGTTCCAAAACTATCCACCACATCTGACATATCCATCTGCAGTTCAGCAAATCCTGAAATAACAACACCCCCCACCCCACACACAGAGCATTAGTTCTGATGAGCAGAAATCTATCAATGTAATTACAGCTTTCAATCTGACCTTAAAAAGATGTTCTTAAAAACTTTTCTAAGACTTGATGCATTATTTTTCTGGCTAAATCTCTCAGAGTTGGAAAATGTTGATTAGGTGTATTTTTTTTTTTACTTTCAGTTTTGCCAAAGCAAATTCTTATTATAAGCAGGGCACATCTACATGTGCAATTAATTCACCCGAATAAACTCCAGCACAGTTCACACCAGAGTTTATTGCTCCTTGGCACCATGTTTGAATATGCGCCAAGGACCGCAACATGTTGAACTGGGTCAGAGCAGCCCCAGCTGGCAGGGGGCCCAAAGCACCAGCCTGAGGCTGCTCCAACCCAGCTCAGCATGCTGCAGGGGGGCTGGCTGGAGCATGAGGGTGCTTCAGTGCAGAGGCTACCTGGCAGCTAGCCCCAAACTGAAGCACCCTTGTGCCCCAGCCAGCCCCATCAGCATCCACATGTGCATTGTGGTAGAGTGAACTATGCCATAGGATAGTACTTACGTTTACTCTGTTCTAATAGCACCACATGTGTAGATGGTGATGTTGCACTGTGCAGCTAATTAGCCAACTCCGCAGTAAATGTCTTGTGAAGACGCACCTTCAGCGTTATTAGCTTCTAGTACTAACAGCTACTAAAATGCATAACACTATTGTAAAGTGTCTCTGACCAACATAATGCAAAAAAAAAGTCTATATATGTCTTTGAAGTCTATGCGACATAAAACATTTGTACATTGCGAGTCTCTGCATGATGCTTCCAGTGCAGAGAACATACACTGATTAAAAAAAAAAAAAAGGCTGTGCAGACCTACCCTCACGTATTTCTTTCCGAAGTTCACATTCCAGCAGTTCAAGTTGCTCACTCAGTTTATGGGTTAACTCTTTGGATTTACGTCTAGTTACTATGAATGCCACTAAAAAAAAATTATTCAGTATTAAGTATAGTAAGATGCAGAATATATACTGATGCACTCATTTTCATTTCATTGTAAGAGAATGAAAAAAGATTATCTATAGAACCATTCTTTTGCATTGTTACTATTATTATTTGTATTGTTGTAGCACTCACAGAGCCCCAGACATCACAACCCAAGATGACACTGTGCTAGGCACTACTACTAAGACTCACTCCTTCTATTTAGTTTTTGCAATTATCAGTCCAATTTTGTTTTAATACATAACATACTCTATTATGAATGATGAGCATGCTAAGATGCAGCCTCTGACAGACAATGGACAAGAGTCTTAAACTTGCTTTGATTTAACAAAAGAGCATTATTTTGGGCAGGAAAATGAATTTACAAATGTTTTACTTATCTAAAACCTGTTTCGAGAACAGGTTTCTGAAAGGCTGATGTGCACTGTATGTATTAATAACACCAAACAATGGAAAAACCAATAAACACTCCTCTTACTAAAATATAAGGTACATTAAAAAAGTGGCAGAATCAAAATGCCTAAGTGTGGAAGAGAAAATACTTCTGGCTTTCAAACCAACTATAAACTACAAATCCATAGGTCTTCTAATGAGACTGATCACAAACACTGCTGACAAATGATGAGGCAGGACCACTCGTTCCTGGGGAACACAAAAGGATTGCTTGACAACTGGAACGGATCAAATTATGTTGTAGAAATGTAGTTCCTAGATCTTGTCTAACTAAATGGTGGTGGATGCCCTGGAGAAGCAGACTGGTAAGACAAGCTTTTATAACAGTCTGTCGCCTATGAAGTTGAATATTACTATCAGAGTAAAAGGCTGAGTTCCCAACTGAACCCAGGGAAAATATTAGACTTCTGGTGACTATCCTGAATTATACCTTCCTCCTTTCCCACACTCACTATCTCGTTCAGCAAGTCCAAAATTAAAAACATGTAATTGTACTTACCTAAAATTACAGCCAGGAATAAGATAGGAAGCAAAATAAGCACATACAAATACATGTGTGATGATTTTGCTTTGACTTCATGCTTTAAGTGTCCTAATCTGACCTAGTGGAAAAATATATAACTGTATGAGTAGAATGCAGACGCTGTATGCCATGTTTGTAGAAAACAACATTCATTGGATAAAGCGATGTCTCAAGGCCCTTAACTATAATAATTAATGAAAAGGGAGTAGAAATATAGAAAAATGCAAACAAACTGATCCAGACTTAATGCATTTGCTGCTAAACTAAAGGAAGAGAATAGTGCTAGGAAAAACATGCAAAAGGGGCAAATTCTCCCATCATTCTTACTTCAAACAAATCATATCAAAAAGGATATAGTGCAGTGGAGCTCAACTTCTTGGACCCACCGATTGAATAAGTGGCACAGGGACAACACAAGGGGTGGGCCCTGTGCACTCAAATCCTGCTGCATGCCACCTGGCTCAGGCCCTGGGCACCCAGACCCCACCTTACACCTCCTGAATCCAGCCCCAGGTGACTAGATCCCACCTTGCATCAGTCAGATCAGGCCTCATGCTGCCTGGATTGGGCCCTGTGTTGTCTGGGCCTCATGCACCCAGATTGGGTCCTGTGCTGCCCTGGCCCCGTATGCCTGATCTAGCTTGTAAGGCTATGCTATCTGCCCACAGGGCTCCCATAGGTCCAGAAATTTGACAGCTGGGAAGCAGCAATTAACATTGCCACTTCGCCACCACTGCCAAATATTTAGACCTGTGGGGAGCCCTGTGGGCCAGAACATGTGGCTCTCCATGAGCTGGATCTGGCCCACAGGCAAGGGTTGAGCACTAGGGCTGTGCGAAGTTTAGCCAGGTGTTTCATTTCAAAGCTGTTTCGATGCGTTCTGAGCTCAAAACAGCGAAATCAAAATGAAACAAAAGGCTTCGAAACAGCTTCGTAACAAAACGAGGGCACTCAAAATGTTTCAAAAGTTTCAAAACGTTTCAAGTTTCGAACCTGGGCTTTTTTGGCTTCAATGATGGTCAGTGGCAGCAGCAGCCTGTTCTCATCTGGCGCACAGATCTGGGGGCCCGCACCCCCGGGAGGGCTGCAGGGCTGTGCCAGACTCCTCCGGGGGTGTGAGCCCCCAGATCTGCACCCCAGATGAGAGTAGACTGCCCCTGCCATCTGAGACTGGTGCTGGGTGCAGGCTGTGCCTAGCACTGGAGAAGATTGCTCCTGCTTCCTGTCCTAAGCGGCAGTGGCTGTGCCTGCGGCAGCCTCCTCTCATCCAATGCACAGATCCGGGGGCTCGCACCCCCAGGAGTCCAGCACTGCCTGGCACCCCTCCCACGGGTGCGAGCCTCCAGATCTGCACCCTGGATGAGAGGAGGCTGCTGCTGCCACCTGAGACTGATGCTGGGTGTGGGCTGCACCCAGGCAGCAGCCTCCTCTCATCTGGTGCACAGATCCAGGGGCTCGCAACCTCAGGAGGAGTCCAGCACAGCCCAGCAGCCCCCCCAGGGATGCAACCCCCCCAGATTTGCGTGCAGGTTGAAAGGAGGATGCCTCTGCCACTTTGGACCAGCGATGGGCGTAGCCTTTGCCCTGTGTCAGGGAAGATTGCTGCAGCCTCCTTATCTGGGGCACAGTTCCGGGGGCTCGCACCGCTGGGAGTGCTTCAGAGCTGTGCCAGACTCCTCCCAAGAGTGCAAGCCCCCAGATCTGTGTGCCAGATAAGAAGAGGTTGCTGTCCCAGGTAGCAGCAGCAATCTTCTCCAGTGCTGGGCACAAGCTGTGCCCAGTGCCGGTCCTAGGCGGCAGCCTCCTCTCATCTGGTGCACAGATCTGGGGGCCCCCACCTCCGGGAGGAGTTTGGCACAGCCCTGTGGCCCTCCTGGGGTTGCAGTCCCCTGGATCTCCTTGAAACTTGGCAGGATTCATGCCCTCAGAAGGGGCTACCATCCCTGCAGTTTTCATCCAAATCAGGGAAGGAATGACCAAGTTTTAGGCATTTTCATGATTCCCTATTATAGCGTATGGGTGAAATGTTGAAACGCATCGAAACAGCGAAAGAGTTTCAATGAAACAGGACAGTGCTTCGAAACAAAATGAAGCGATGAAACGAAACACTGTCCCTTCGAAATGGTGAAACGGACATTGAAACAAAATGACGGTGTTTTGCACAACCCTACTGAGCACCCCTGATACAGTGGACACGAAAGCAGAACCTGGTATCAAACTAACCAAATATCCTGAATTTCTGAGGATTATTGGGGGGAAGGCATTTTCAAGATTAATAAAGCCAAGTTTTCACAGTCTAGGACTGTTCTTTGCACTCATCAATGGCATCCCAGTAAGTAGAAAAGCAATGTAAGGCTTAAGTGAACAACAAGGAAAACAACATTTCTGGTAGAAGCCTTGCACTGCAGTCAAATCCTTCTCCTCCTTGCAGATGTTCAAATCTTGTAGTGAGTACGCCAGGTAGTGAACTGCATATCAAATTGTAACAGGATATACAACATCCACAACTAGGGCTGTCGGACAGATGAACAGTGAGGAATTATTGTGAAGGCATCAAAATACTAGTCTGCGAAACTGAGGTATTTACCACAGATAATTAGAGTAAGAGAAACTTTATAACAAAGGATAATCAAAAGGGACTGTGAAGACGTGTAAGTAAAGAGTAGCCAAAATTATAAGCAGACCTATGGAAAAAATACACTTCCACAGAGAACAAGAAAACCAATGAGTGCATGGAGCAGAAATGACCTTGGGATAATTGAAAGATACACCGTCAAGGCTGGAATTACTTTAAGTCACAGCGTGGAAGGCAGAGTTCTTGTACCTCTCAATCACTTGCTTGTCACAGGAAGTCTACTAACAGGGCAGATAAATGGTTCTAAGTGTACATACAATGCTGATTACATACATGTAATCAAATCAAAGGAAAAACTACACTCCAAAACAATGGTTCTCAAAACTTTTTTTTGGCAACATAGCCCTTTTTAAGACTGTTTAAACAACGTACCCTGTGATTCTCTGTTATGGGAAACAAAAAAACCCCATGTTTTGGGCAGAATCCCATTTCACTTTGTGCACCCAAACAGCAGTTACCCAGCCACATAACTGCTATTTTTGGCACTTATGTACCATTTGTGACCCTGCTCCACACGCAGCATGGAAATGCGACGAGCATATATAGCAGGCCGAGCACTGGCCAAGAAGGCACGCAGCCTAGGCTGGATGAGCACAGGTCATGGAATCCTACCTGGCAAAAACTTGTGATTAGTAAGCATTAAACACCAGAGAAGGAGGGGGCATCTCCTGGGTTTGAGCCCAACAGTCAAGTGGTTAGGGCACTTGACCCAAGTTCTTAGCAACCTTCATCCAGAGCAGGTTTGAAACTACAACTCTCTAAACTTCCCAGCATATTGCTCCAACCAGCATTCCATGAAGCTGGTCCCTGGGCAGCCAAGAGGGAGATATATGGAGCCAGAAGAAAGGGCAGAGTGGGTAGAAGGCAGCCAGCAGTTGGAGCTGGAGCTGAAGCCCCGCATACTGGTGCACAAGCTGCTGGGCTGAAGCTTCTTCCCCACCTGGAGTGGTGCAGCAGGGGCAGGAGGAACCACCACTGGAGGTGAGGGGAGCTGAGCAACACCTGGGCAGCTGCAGCTGCGCTGGGAGCAGCCCTACTGGTAAGCGGCGCATGCTGGCCAGGACCAGGGCTGGCAGACATGGGCAGGAGCACGGCACTGACTGTCCCAGGCAGGGTTTGGCCCCATGCGAAGCATTGCAGGGTCAGCCATGGGCTGGATCCAATCAGTTCCACCAGGAGAAATGCCTTGTTGGACCTAGTCCTGGCCACAGGCAATGACCTGGTGAAGGGACTGCAGATGCTCGACCACCTGGGCGATAGCAATCATCACCTACTGCAATTTACCATCCAGCGCAGGGTGTCAAAGGCCTGCAGCAAGGCAGCAGCCCTGGACTTCAGGAGGGCGGATTTCAATGAGGTAAGGAAATTAGTCGGGGAGGCACTGAGGTCCCAGAGGGGAGGGGAGTTGGGAGTCCAAGAAGAGTGGTCATTCCTTACGGAGACGATCCTCCAACCCCAAATCATGACACTCCCCACGCGGATCAAAGCGGGCAAGAGTGCTCAAAAGCCCCCATGGCTCACCAAAAGCATCCACAAATGCCTCAAAGCCAAAAAGGAGGCATACACCCAATGGAAAGATAAAAAGAAGTCCTTTTTTAAATACATAGGGGGTAAAAAGAAGGTGCCAAATAATGTGGGGCGTCTGCAGGACATGCTTGGTAATCTGGTGGTAGCACCAGATGACAAAACTAATCTCTTTAACAGTTTCTTTGCTTCCATTTTCCTGAGCAGGGACAGGGACATCCCCCCCACTGGGAATCCGGACGGACCCAGGGGAGGCGCAGCCAGGCCCAGGGTCAGTGAGGGCCTAGTCAGGGAACTTCTGGAGGGACTAGAAGTGTTCAAATGAGCAGGTCCTAATGATCTCCACCCCAGAATGCTTAGAGAACTGGCAGAGGTCATTGCAGGACCCCTGGCACAGCTTCACGAGCACTCATGGTGTTCCGGTAAGATGCCTGACGACTGGAAAAGGGCTAATGTGGTCCCCATTTTCAAAAAAAGGGAGGAAAGAGGACCCGGGAAACTATAGGCCCGTTAGTCTTACCTTGGTCCTGGGGAAGCTCTTTGAGAAAATTATCCAGGAGCACATCTGCGAGGGGCCAGCCTGGGAGTTTATGCTTAGGGGCAATCAACACAGGTTCATTAGAGGCAGGTCCTGTCAGACCAACTTGGTGGCCTTCTATGACCAGGTCACAAAAGCCTTGGAAGCAGGTGTCATGGTGGATGTAGTCTTCCTGGACTTTAGGAAGTCCTTCGACACTGTCTCTCACCCCATCCTCATTAAAAAATTAGGCATCTGTGGTGTCGACAACTACACAGTCAAATGAGTCACAAATTGGCTGGAGGGCCGCACCCAGAGAGTGGTGGTGAATGGGTCATTTTCGACCTGGAGAGATGCGGGCAGTGGGGTTCCCCAGGGCTCAATCCTGGGGCCTGCACTGTTT